ATTGGGCCTAACTCTGATACCATATTGGGAATATTGGGCTTAACTCCACCTAATAAAACTGACTTGTTAGGGAAGGATTGCCATCACCTTATTAAGTGAATCATTTATATTTTCCCAAACAATGTGGAATTCTAATAATTGCAGAAGGCCAACCACCTTCTGGTACCATATTTTTATGACTAATGTTCACCAAGTCTTTACCCGTGTTTGATTGAATCCAAAAGTTAAGTCAAACTTACAGTTCCTCTTAAAGTTACTTATTTTGCTAAACATGATTTTGAAAGTTACTTATCTTTTTTGCTAACAAACTTAATTTTTAGAAACACAAATAATAGTATCTAACAAAGCTCTTATGCATGTCTCAAGAGAGAGATCTTTAGTCTCGTTCTAAGAGAGGCAACATCTTTTCATTCTTGTCTCTCTTCCTCTCCTCAATCAACCACAACTACCTCAACGATTGTTGGCATGACTACGCATTTTCAGTTCCCAAAAACTCACATCTTAGGTTAACTTAATCTTAAAATTGAGTCATTGAGATATTTGATAAAAGGAAAAAATGTGTTGGAAAAAAAAAAATTTATTTCATCTCAACTTGGTCTTCCCCATAGATATGATCGGGCAAGAAATCTATTCATTTCAATCAACGTGACACAAAAAATTAAAAAAATAAATTTCACTGTGGATTAGGATGACGACTATTAGCAGAAGAAACTCTGGATTCCCACTCAAGAAGCTCTTTGCTGGTATCATCCGTATGAGCAAAAACTTTTATAAAGCACAAACAATCTTTCTTCTCTCCTTTGGTTGTTTCAATAACTTCAATTATTGTACCTACAACATAGTAGGTAACAAAGTTGACATGGACCCTCGTGACATAGACTCGACCACTTCTAGGCCATGTGCCTTGTTGACCCTTGTAGGGTCGATTTTAGATGGGTGTCTGTTCGCTTGAAAATATGTACCGCAAATTTTGACTTTTATCTCAATTATACCCTTCATAAATTGCATCCAAGAACCTTCAAATTTTTGTTTGCTCACTTTGGTCCCCCAAAGTCATGTTTTTGTGCACTTTTGATCCATTTTTCTCCTTTTGTCTTGTTCTCTTTCCTTTTGATGATTTTTACCTACAAACGTAATAATTACATAATTGTGAGTAGAAATCCTCTCATTTTTATCAATAATAAGTATATTTAAGTATTCAATAAGTGTGAAAAAACGTGCTTATCGGCGCCCTCCAAAGTGCAATGAAAGTCTCCAATCTAAGGCCCTCAGTTCAAGTTTTTTTTTTTTTATTGTTTATTAGTCAAGGATATAAACCTTTGTGGTTCTACAGTTGCCTTCTCCTTGCACATAGCATCGACTAATGCAGTGGAGTTCCAATTCTTGATCACATTGTATAGCTAGTCATGGATTTCGACTTCTATGGTGTATCCACCATTATTGATGAAGAAAATTATGCTCTTTTGGCAACACAGGATCATTGTTGACACATCTTGTGCAGTTACCTGAAAAGAAGTACAGTACGCCCACAAAATTCATTAGTTTTAACACTTTTCTCGGATGGCATGTTGACGTTCAACCCTGAATCCAAAAATTCAAATAGTAAACCTGAAAGCTTCAATGATGCAAGAAATCACTCGTTTTTGGGGTACAAGCTATGCATAGCCTAGGGTAGCACCAACGGACCATCCAAATGATCCATACTGCATTTAGAATTCATACCTGCAACACAAAATTTTGTCCCTCTAATGTTTGTAAATGAAATCAGCGCACAAAATTGATATATAACTTACTACCTACGCACATCCGTCGTGTAATTTTAGCTTCTGGCAGTTGAACCAAGAATCCCCTGTCTCAACAATGATAGCAGTTTCACTAGACAGTATTTTTGGCATGTGCCGAAACAAAACATTCTCTCAGGGGCTCATTAGGCTCGCTCTTGAGAGGAATTCGATCCGAAATGTAAATACGCTTATAATTTTCATAAGCAGTTGTGTTACGCTTAAGCTTCTTTGCCAACTCGTGAAGGAAATCTTTCATTAACACGCAACCATAAGTCGGTCCATGAGATATAACGACACGATCAGGTTGCACAATTATCGCCTTCTCCCTCTTGAGTAAGAGGGAGTATCCAATGGAGCTGTAGTCATTGAAGATTGGTCCAGCAAACAAATAGGCATCAACAGATTCCACAATTTCACCACAGAATGCAGTCCCTACTGCATCGTAATAAGTCTCAATAAAATGAGGGTGCTGCACCGGGACTAGCCCTTTGGCTAAGGGCATTACTGCCATTGCGAAGCCACATGCATCAGCTAGTTCGACAAATGCTTGACATGCCTTTGCAACACGCAGCTTTGGCCCCCTGATGATCATTCATCGCTTAGTTTAGGAAGGCTGCTGCTGCTGCATCTACTGCAGCCTCGAGCCCCCTCTTATTGCTTAATCTGTGACACAATTTTGGATAAATTCAAACAATTATTTCAAATCTCAAACATGTACTAACTACTAATCAAAGCATATGAATAGTAAAGGGCATGTTCGGAAACACTAGACAAAGTCCAAGGTCAAGGTAGAATACAATATGAAGTTTTTACACGACCAAGACAAGTCCATTGTAGCTCATCAGTTGAGCCCTAAAGCGACATGTGAAAACAATAACAAGACAAACATGAACATGCTCGATTAGGATTTATTGGACATATTAAAGAAAAATGTATGGAAGGAGCATCATGTTCGAGATGGACTCCAGTAATAGATAAGCTTAAATATTGTGTTTCTTATACTTTCCTCCAAGAGTTCCGTTGGTTATAGGACTAGCCTATCATACAAAATAGAATTGATCGACTATGACACTCGTAGAATTAGCAAGCAAAAATCTTGTTCAATTAATAAGTAAAGCATAATCATTTCCTAATATTTGAATTGAATGATGGTTCAGAAGAAAATGACACAGTATGATTAAGTAACAAAGACGTGGGATCAAATTATCCACCCCATTCCTGCCCATCCAATGAACTGAACATGTTAAAAGGGTATTGTAGCTATAAATACCTTGGTAAGAGGGAAAATAGGATTGGCCCTCTGGTAAAAGTAGGATAAGGGATTCCATGCAAATTGCAACTGATGTTTAAATACACTGGCTTGCTTTCCTTTAGTGCTGTAGAAATAGCTGTATCAATTTGTTCATGTGCATCATCCAAGTTATTGACAAGAGCCTGTTTTAAACAAGATCAAAATCTATTCAAAATCCTCTTATACATGATCTTGTCTATTCAATTGAGTTATTAAATTCAAAATAGTAAAAAAAGCAGTATTTCGAATTATTTCCATTGGAATCTACATAACATGATGAGTCCTATTGAATATTGTGTGCTCAACCTGTACACATTGTATATTCATAGGATTATCAATAGGGAAAAAGAATTATACAACCTAATTTACCTGATAGCAAGTAACAGTCTGAAAACACCTAAATTCCTAGCTGAAATCTAGCAATCCAAGCCTCTGTTTGATCCACATTCTTCTCAAAATTCATTCTTTCAAAACTCATTTTCAACCACACATTCTTCAATAAAATAATATTACACGCAAATCTAAAATTTTTCTTTATTTTAGAACCACATATTTTCTATCAAATCACATCATAAAACGCATTCTTTTCTCAATAACGTGTATCAAACACCCCCCAATTGTATGATGTAGAATTCTATTAGTCCCATAATCGTTAGTATTCGGCCCTCCAACGATACAAATCACTGGTAAATTCTTACTGTAAGCATCGGCAACGACGTTAAGCAAGCTCAATCCACCGTGACGCCGGGCAGAATAGTGATTATTTTGCAGGTTGGGTTCAATTGACAAAAATAGAGAAGAACGCAAGAGAAACACAAAGAAAAACGAGAAAATTCTTTATTATTCAACAACTGAATGAAAATAACCCACAAGCCGGGTTAAATAGCCAGAAAATAATAATAATCGGAATTTTGCCAAAAATAGCAAAATCCTAATATT